GTAGGATTACCAATACGAAAAAGATTATCAATAGGTGCCACTGGTAAATTAGTGATATAATTTATAAATTATAAATAAAAATGTAGATAACGTTAAATAAATTTTTGTAGACAGCTAGAAAGTTGATATGAGAACCTATTGGTTTTAAGGAATTGGCATGTGATTACGAAGCATTGAATTGCAGTAGAAAATTTGGTGGCGAATCAATTGGAATTTCTTTTTATGACCCACTAACCACTATACTTTTTGGTTGTAAAATTGGAGTATCGTGTGGTATGTGAGAAAGAGCGAGATACGAGGTGACTACGATCGTGGTCGAAGAAACGAAGTCGCGCGTTCGTCTTGAAAGCAGATTAAAATGAAAAAGAGGGTTAGGAGTGGTTAATTAAAAAAATTAATCGACGTACCGAGCCGTGGAATTTCGAGGTATAAAAAGAGAGGAATCCAAAGGAAAAACTGATACGTTAATGAGAATCAGGTTGATTGCGCCAAAAAACGGCATGTCTCGGACGAAACTATGCCAGAACCTTAATTTCAAGCAAAACAAAAAATAAATGTTCAAGCTACCCAAACCTTTGAACGATCCCAATATTACAGTAGAGTGTCATAACGTAGATAAAAATAAGATCGTAAAGCGATCTATAGTCGTTCTTAATTGGGGGGCGCTCAGATCGAATGATTCCAATATCCATCGTCCGAATTCTCAACTAGATTAAAACCAGAACGTTGAACGTAGCCAGTATACGAGTATGATAGCGCTTGAACATGGGGAATGTAACCGTGGAGAATTTTGCAAGTGGAGCCTATGGCACAGCCGTCTCGGTCTCCAGACAGATCATTTTGCCGAGGACTGGTCCCAACGATGAAAACCGGTTCCCCAACGTGCGCATTGTGCGTGTGTGTGTATGCGTGCATGAGACTGTCCGTCCTGTGTGTACGCGCGGGAGATGCTGTGAAGCTGGGTGGTTTTTTCGTGGTTGCAACCGCAGTCGCTATGGTGACCGTCCATACTCCGGCTAGTCTGGCTTCGACTAAAACATGGTGCGCCTTTTATGATTAATTGTCTGTGATTCCTTGCTGCGGGGACTGACAATGAGAAGTGCATAGTAGTAGGTACAAAGATTTTAGTTACGGTATACAGCCCACAGATGGCAGCGCTTGCGGCAGCATTGCATTACAAGACCATACGTTGGTATCGTACTGTGCCGAAGTCTATAGACATACTGATGTGTGTGGTTAAGTCTGTAGGTTTGGGCCCTAAGGCCCCCCACCATCATTACCAGTCACTCCTATCCCTCCTAGTGAAGCCCTTTCCCTCGGACTCCCGCCATTCCCGATCGGGCCCTTACTTCCCCAGTACCCCATTAGTCGAATGGACCCTTTTTCTCCATCCCCCACCATTATCCCGAACCCTTTCCCCACCCCACCGCTTCATCCCCGCCAACGCCGCAACCCTTCCCTACCCTACAAGGCCCTTCCTACCCGTGACACTGGCACAGTCCTTCACCTGTTCCCGTCGCTGCTGGCCTACCTTATCTAACCTTACTTTACTTTATCCTGCAATACCCTAGTACTTGCCTGCAGAAACCGGGCCTTGTTCAGCCTTGCCAGTCACGGCCACTTGCATAAACCGGCGTCGGGCATCCGCCATGGGATATTCAGGATCGAGCTGGCACTGAAACGAACCGTTGCAACATTTTGAATTTTCTGATCCTTACGTCTCGGTCCCGGTTTTAAAAGTCACCCTGAAGTATTTTTCATTTTTCCATTTCGTACCCCACTGAGACCCATTTTACCCCCACTACTTACTTCATAACCTACCCTACCTTCGCCGTATTACTCCTGATACTTCCCGGGCCTCTATTATTGTATCTACCCGAAGACTCAACCGATACCTCCGACTTACCTGAACACCAGCAAGATCTTCACGATCCTCAGTCCCATCGTCGTGTTCGTAAAACTATCGGACTTTAGTCGTGACCTCTTGAACTCTCTACGTGCCAGCGACATCCCTATTGGACTACTACTTACCGACTCACAAGCGACCAACGGGTAAGTTGTTACCAACTGTGAATTTTAACTGCTGGTAGCCTAATTGGGCTGTTGCTAACCTCATTTATAATCAGTGGCTTAGTTTTCACCGTGCAGAGCTTAAACAGAGTTAAGCAGCCTCATTGGTCAATTCCATTCAACTCCTATACGTGACTGGTTGAGTCTGTTTAAACTCTGTACGGTGGAAATTAAGTAAGAATCTGTGAGACTGTATCTGCGTCTGTAATTTTTTTCTTTGACAATTTCTGTACCGCCTAGTGATGCTTGCAACATTTTTCAATATTTTACTACTTATTCGCTAAGGTATTTTTAGTAATGATTTTTTATTTAGCGATCAATATTAGTGAAGTTTTTGTAATAATGGAAAATGTTTAATTTTGCGAAAATGTAATTTGACGGGTAGCAAGAAGCATCAAGCCCCGGTGCGTCTGACGTGAATTCGTATGCGCCGCCGGATATGCACTTTCCTTTTGGCGTTTGCATAAAACATATGCACCTGCATCGAACACGCATATAATGCAATTCGTGAAGATAATAATCTCCTATAACACGTGACATTTAAGGTATACAATTAAATGTATCGAAAATGAAATGAATGCGACATATGTATACTAATTAGTTCTCATTGAAATTTTGCATTTCCTTCGCTGTGTATATACCGAATTTTAATATTAACAATATATAAATACAATTTCAGTCATCAAACTGTACATTAACTAAATTACAGTGATTTGCCAAGTCACCTGAATGTGAAAAAATCGTTTATATCGCCCTGGACGGGCGTACCTGTTCGGCCACATATACGTGGGTACAGATTTATATATGTGTATATATATATATATATACACGTAGACTCCGGTCAAGGTCGTACATTGTTTAAGATCTTTTTGTACCTTTCATGTTCTCCTGGTCGGCGTCTGGCGTGAGAATTCTCCCGGTAGATGGCGCAGCGATCACTTTCCCTTTCTGTATTGCATTTATGGTATCCTGCTCCTATAGCCAGGTAGAATTTAAATAAAATTGTTTCGTTGGTTTATCCGTAATTGTGAAAAATTCAAAATTACTGTTTGAGGTGACAAAATTTCGTAAGGTTGCGCATCCGAGAAATTTCAAACCTAGTCTAGGAAAGCAAAGAAAATTGTAGATTAGAGTTAGTATCGCCTTAGCAGGAGTATGGGAATATTTTTCAATAACGTATGCTACGAAGAGATTAGATTTATAAATTCGTCGGTTAATATTAAGATTCAGTTTGCGGTTAAAGTTTAATTAAATTCGAGTCAGCCATTTCTAGAAGAATATAAAATGTTTGATTTATTTTATTTTTAATTAAGTATCAAATTATCCTGGCAGTAATAACAGTTAGACCTGAGAAACAGCAGCCAAGCATCGTGAAATTTAATGGGAAATTTAAGATGGCGACATCGAGGTAATCGCAAGTGAAAATTTTTCTGCGATCCTGAAGAATCGTAACGTTTCAAGGACATCGGGTTCTCTCCCACCATAAAGACCACGAGGGACCCATAAGAGCAGCCTGTAAGGGGCCCCATAAAAGTCCGCAAGACTAGAATCGACCGGAGGAGAAGCAGCCATTTTGTTTTTTTTCCCCGTCATTTATTCTGCCTCTTATTTCTTTGACTTATGATTTCATGAGAAGACATGCCAATTCCTGTTGCGTGTATATTATATGCTTGTTTTTCTTTTTCAGAGTTTTTGAAAGAACCTGTACAGTGTCAAGGCTTGGTAACTCCACCACCGTTGGCGGGGAATCAATGGCCAATGGGGTAAGAGTTTCCTTTCCTCGGCGTAGACTACAACTTTAAAAATAATACCATGTATAAGAAAGAGGGAGAAAAACTCTCAAGGTTGCACATCGAAAAGGATTGGTGTACGTACCATATCTTTTGAAACGGTATATATAGTTTAAAATTAGCCATTTTACCATCCAACGAAGTTTCAGTCAGTCATAATTTATTCGTCGTAAAATGACCTTTACCTTTATGTACAATTTTATTTAATTAACCGCAATAACATGATTATAATTTTTAAGAAACTACAAAGCGTTCCAGAAATGATATGTGCCTGACTTTAGTCGTTGGTCGCTAAGGGCATCTCGTCGATCGGTATTGAGTCGGAACGGGATTGAAACGAAGAAAAACAGGTAGAGACGAGCAGAAGACGTTAGGTTAGGTTAGACTAGTTTAAGGCGCGTTAAGACACGGACCGTGAGAGAGGAAAGAGAGAACCTTTCAGTGGTTCGACTACGGAATGTGGGATGGCGACGATCCTGTCTACAATCGATGAAAAAAGTCCTTGACGTGGAGCAAAACCGTCTTGGCCGGGTGAACTTTCTCGCAGGACTGTACTGTTCTTTATTATTTTTTTTTATTACGACAGTGCTGCCACCACTCGGATGTGCTCGTGCCGTACTTCATCATTTTTTGCTTGGATTCGAGAACTTTTGAATACTTGAATACCGTGTCCGGTCCATTAACATTGGACTTCAGGGAATTTTGAGATACTGACCTAACAGATATCATCGTCAAATATTTTTTAATTATATCATAAAACAGAATTAATAATCTTTTCGATATAATATATTGCAATTATTGTACTCTTTTCTATTAAACGAATTATAGTAAAACACGAGTAAAACTTATTTTTTTGACAATCGAAAACAATGACATTTTTAGTAAGTCACGAGTGGCTTTCTATGCGAGTTCAATTATTGAGTATGATCTTGATTGTATTTTTTAATAAGGTATGTAATGGATAAGTTCCTACTTTATTTTTAATATTTTGTAGAATGTTCCTCTGTAAATTTTAACATGTAACTTTAATATGTAGCAATATTTATAAATATATAAAAAAATATTTCTTTGCGCAGTTAATGAAATTATCTTCGAATAGGCAAGTGCCAATAATTTAGCATTAAAATAAATTTTGCAACGATTGCAACCCGTAACAAGGTAGTTATTTTATATTACCGTTCCACACATTTCGTGATTATCAACCATATTCAAAGATGGCGCTCTTTGACTGTCCAGAGCGCCATCTGTCGAACACAGCACCAACATGATGCAATTTATCGACAATACTACTTTCAATGAGATAAAGAAACTAAGCAGCATAAGATCTTTAAGTTAGTTGTGTAGCTAGATATCATATAGTTTTTCACAAGTAAAACTGAGTGGTTGTCATGAGAGCATGTAAATACTTCAAACTGTATTGATTGCTTTATCTAATGTTGTTTAAAATGTTTTTTTGTAAATTATCTTGTATCTTTTTAATTTTGTTGTTTATTAATGTCTGTCATTGTTCTCAACGAGTGGTAAGTATTATTTTACATTTAGTACTCCTTTGTTACCATTTTTCCACAAAGAACTGTAGAATAGAGTTTAGATATTCTTATCATAGCGACTCCCCTTTTGGAGCAAAGATCAAAGTCATCAACCGGCTATGGGATTTCATTTGAAAAATGTTCTTTGTTATATATTCACGGATTCCTTTATGTAGTAATATTCGCAAATGTATTTCTTACTAACGGGGAATAAAGCACCTTTCGCGTAAGTAAAATGTGTTACAAGATATTGCGAATTTATTAAGAATTTATATACTTCTCTATTTTTAGTTACGTTCTTGGATCAACCCCAACTGTGGAGAAATTTGCGATAAGAAGAACTTAACCACAGTTTGGTTAAGAGCTGATGGACTTAATGACACGTTACATTATGTGTGGGACTTTAGTGGAAGTCCATCAGTATTAATGGCAGTGACTTCCCGTTCTGCAGAACTTGAAATTAAGTGGGAAGAGTATGTACTTGGCAAAAGCAAGTCCTTAAGGTTCACAGAAACACCTCATTATACTTTTGGAATAGTATTAAGGAAGGTTTGTCAACTAATTCATTAGAGTATTGTAACAAAAAATTGTATATTAAATTAGATTGTTTTCTTTGACAGATTTACGAATTTAATGATATAAATGACACAGGTCTTATAGACACAGTTGATGCTTCCAATATAAATATTCTTCATCCAAGATCATTTCGCTGGGATCGTACATTTTTTTCTAAGACAAACGAATTAGTAGAACTACATATGGAAGGACACGATTACAATAATGCAGAGGATAAAATCTCCCGGCGTGGAAAAATAAAATTACTAGTAAGTTTAATACTGTAAAAACAAAATTTCTTACTAAGGAGTGTTAAAAAAATTAATGTTATCAAATTTTATATTTCTAGTTCAATGGCTTTTGTTCACTGAATCACTCTCACATTACACCACATATGTTGCACTCTGAAAATTCCACCCAAATTGATCTAATAATAGATCATTTGCAAACCAATACCAGCTTTCTACAAAGTAGATTTGCCATTGAAGTTTTATTAGTTAGTGAAGGAAATAGCAACTCTACGATGATAATCGATGGCAAGAAAACTCTAGATGATGAGCATACTCCAGGAATATTCGAGGTGACATTAACCCAATCTGTTACTTAACATTATAATTAAAAAATAATTAACAAGATTCTAATTACCAGGTAGATGAAATTAGAACTCCAAACAATAATTATGATAATGGCATTCAGAAAATGGGAGCTTACATACAGTGGAAACCAGTATCTTATACTACTGCAGAGAGAGATGTAACTAGTTCAACTGATCTAATTCATTACCCTCTAATTGTATCTTATAATCACACAAAAGCGATGAAGAACTCGTTGCTGTTTGCATTTTATGATGAAAACGTGACTCAACTCTTAGTACAAAAGATCAATGTATCTATGGGTTTGAAAGGTGACCGTTTTTATAAGAAAACCAATTACACCACATGGTCAGTACTATTTTTTTATCTTGTATATAATGGTAACTTTAACTCGTCTTTAGGATTATTTTACTATTATTTATGGAACTCTCTCAAATTCCAGGACTTTTATTGTTGGTTATGGAACGCCTCCAGATGAACAGTTTTCATATCTGGTTATTATGATCATATCAATTGGAATTGGATTGCCTTTATTAATTATGATATCGACGGGTTTATATCTGTGTGCACGGCGGTTTCGCAATCAAGATAGCAATGTATTATTAAACAGATAAAATTTCTAGCCAAAGAATGTGGATCTTTATCAATAGACTTAGTGATAACTTACAAGTTCAAGGTCCAAATATTGTATATAAATTTTAGTTTTTTAAAATGCAAATATGTGACAAAAATGCAGATACTCTAAGTACGTAGGTAGTGTTTTTTTACAACCTGGTTATGAATATGATATTTTATATGGAGCTAAAGTGTTATTATTTATGGAAACATTAGACTCTGTGTTCTTAATAAATATATGCTTACTGGAGAATTATCTGTACATACTCTCTTGGAGAAAAGTTAAATAAACGAAATAACTGAGACAAATATAGGTTATATTTAATTAATTCGAGTTCGATGATAATTGTCCATTTTTATCATATACGACTTATACCTTTTTATTACAAACATTATCTTGTTTTCGTTAAAGATTAGCTCTATACTACATAATACCCTTGGTCGTTATCAAATTAAAAGACCTCACTCAGCTATAATAAATTGTCACTCAAACGCATCTGTCAGTAAGTTTTCAGCGTCCGTGGTACGACGAGCAAAGCACAGAAGTATACGGAGTGCTAGGTAATATCCTAAGCAGCACTATAGAGACTATACTATAATTCAGCAGTCTAAAGAGCAAAAACTTTCTTTCAGTAAGTTACAGTGATGCTCAATAGCATAATGTTTCTATGCATTAAAAACAGACTTTAGACAACATATTTGTAATATGCCATTGAAAAATGTTAGTGGATGGCAACTCTGAACTAATGACAAATAAATTGTGGGTGGCATGTTTGATAAGGACTGTACATATTACTTATGTAACTAAAGATTAGATAGTGATTGCAAATTTGTAAGAAAACTACTTGGGTCTATAATTTTTATATTTTTTCAGAATCGTGTTGTTACTTTATTGCAGTAGTTAAAATTACGTACAATTGAAGATACTATGGCACCAAAAGTTTCATTACTTGATGACACAAGATTGGTAATTGGAGAAGGACCTCACTGGGATGCTGAGGGCCAAGTCCTATATTACGTTGATATTTTGGATTCTACTGTTTTGAAATATGATTCACGTTCTAATAAAATTACACGTGCAGTTGTAGGTAGGTGTAAAACATATTCAGCTGTAAGAAGTTTTTACAAAAACGTATTAGAATGTTGTGATATTAATAATATCATTTTTTTAGATAAAAAGGATAAAACTACTGTGACGTTTATATTGCCAATTGCCAACACCACTGATAAATTCCTAATTGGTTATGGTTCTAAGGTTGCTGTTTTAACTTGGGATGGTGTAAGTTCCGAACCTCAAAATATTGAAATTCTAGATGAGGAAGAAGATGCCTCACATACTGGTAATCGTTTCAATGATGCTAAGGTCGATCCTGAAGGTAGATGTAATTTCCATTGTTTAATAGTATTTTATAGTTTGAAAGAATGAAGAATAAAAAAATGAATAAAATATATAATTTTCATATAGTTCAATCATAATTTTAGGTCGCGTGTGGCTTGGAACAATGGGTCCGTTACAAGGGCCTGATAAAGTAGTAAAAAATTCAGGAGCACTCTACTCACTTACTGATAATGGCAAATTGGTTAAACATGTTACTGATATTGGTATTAGTAATGGATTAACATGGAGTCCTGATAAAAAAATATTTTATTACATTGATAGCATTGCTGGAAGTATCGATAGTTTCGACTATGATGCCAAAGTTGGCAAGATAGGTTAGCATAGATTAAAATATTATTTTTACTGAATTCATAAAACACATTGGGTTTTAGATAATCGAAAGGTAGTATTCGATCTTAAGAAGAATAACGTAAAGGGTTTACCTGATGGCATGACTATTGACACTGAAGGAAAATTATGGCTCGCAACTTATAATGGTAATGCAATATATAGAATTGATCCTATTACAAGCGAAATTCTTCAACGTGTAGAATTACCAGCATCACAGGTAAGTGATTTTCAATGTAAATTATAAGCAAATAGAAAGATGGCTTTTGAAATGATTCGTCAGACTAAATTAAATAATCATGACAGATTACTTCAGTCACTTTTGGAGGAAGCAATTTGGATGAGCTCTATGTTACTAGTGGCAGTATAGATGAACCAAAAGGTGTTCCCCATGTAGGAAGGGTATTCAAAATTACAGATCTGGGTGTTACTGGTTATCCTGGAGTACCAGCAAAATTAAAGCTTCCTTAAATTAATCTAGAAGTATCTTATGTACTTGTTTTTGTCAAGTATACAATAATTATTATTTGTACAAATTGAATTTGTAATAGTAAATATGTCAAATCGATAAGCAACGTTCATATGGTGTTCTGAATGATGTATTTGATTATTTTATTTCTTACCTTTTATCCGTTGTGCTATTTGTCTATGTATCTTATCGACTGCTAATCATAAATGATATCTTGAACCAAAACTAAGTATACTAAACATTTTATCGGAACGGTAGACACGCAAGTTGAGTGTCGCGACTACCTGCAAATGGATTTTCCTATTGAAATATTATATGTATATCGATATACAGGATTATTCATTAGAAACGTAACCACCTGAAGTTAGCCCGTATATTTGATTTCTATGGTATTATAGAAAAATGTTCAGGTGGTGCATTTCTACTGAATCACTCTATATATTCTACATACTGGAATCGCGAGGCACGGAATACACGGCCATACAAATTTTGTCTATTTATAATCAGTCAATGATGATATTACCGATCATCGATATAAAGAAAGGTTAAACAAGTAGTTCAATATAAAAACTGAGTACTCACGATACACAACACCAAGAATTTAGTTGTATGACGCAAATACTTTTTTCTTCATACCCTTCAAAAAGGTCAGATGCAATAGAATTTCAAATGTCTCTACCAATGGCTACTACCGTCTACTGTATTAAAATAAGCAACAGAGTGCGCTAGTAGTCATATACTTCCGCAGAGTCCAATAACAGTTGGTAAAAGAAAACGTTATTTTCGTATTCGAAAATTTCCATATTTTTCAAAATTATCTCCAAAAGTAATCAAAATAAATGAATGAACAAATTTATTTTTTTTCGATTATTGTTCTATCTATCTATCTATCTATCTATTTAACTCATATCTTATTTCCACTCAGTTAAGGTTTAATAATTATCCCCGAAGAAACTTAAACTTCGAAGATTGGTCACTTGCCAAATACTGTGTCAACCAACATCTATATATAGTTTCCACAAATGGTATCATCCGCAAGGTCACCTCTAACCTTTATTCAAAGCTCGAATATATTCGTTAAACCCCGAAACTTTCAGGATCGATTTGCCAATTAATAAAACATAATGATTATTTTTAAACACGCACGTATATCTATGCCAAACAGTGCTAATGGTGAAATCCTTTTTTCTCGTATAGATATACATTCTGGCTTCGCAGCGTAATACCATAGTCGATGGTAAAAAGTGTGTATAGGTTAGGTTAGGTGGAGCAGGGTTGCCAGTGATACAAGTCAACGTAGTGCGCTCCGTGGCTGGTCTATCGGACGAGTTTACTACTTTAGGTATGGTCGGATACCGTAGTGGGGAGTAGGGTGTTGTGAAGGGTGAAGAGGGTCGAAGAGAAGAGCGGAGGGGTCAGCAGTAACTAGTCGCCGGAGAGAGAGAGAAAGAGAGAGGATAAGAGTGAGTGCGAGAATAGTCAGAGAGCGGGGAAGGCTAATGTTTTCAGGTACAGGTAGTATGAGTGGCGCGGTGTGGTACCGTGTTTCTGGTAGTGGGAGGTATCGCTACCGGTGGAGGGGGTATATTTTCATTGATCCGTCCATGGCATAGAAGTAACCACCGTACGAGTATTTGCAAACTAGAGACTGGGGCTGGTCGCATTGATCCAGTCTGCAGCATAAGCAATGTCATTGAGATTTTGGATATTAAGACAAAAATTACTTGAGATTTCATAAAGATCAATTAGAATTATTAGGAATTATTTTGTAGTATGATGGGAAGGATTGACGTGGATTTGAATAAAGTTTTTGGGGGAACCGATAAGATAAATAATGATGATAATATGTTCTAGGTACAAAATTCTTATTTTTATTAATTGCAAGTCTGCATTACGATTTAATTAATATGTATGAGATTTATAATAGTTTTGATAAATGGATAATCTGTAGTGATTTTGATGATACGAAGAACTTTGTCTGAAAAATACATTATAGTGGTGGGTTTTGTTAGTTTAATTTTGGGAAGTTCTTTTGTAGTACAATCCTAATACTTTTTGGTAGTGAACAAATTTTCGTATTACTGAAAATCCGAAATTTGGAAATGCTCGCACCCCGGAAAGGAAGCTCACGTTCATTCTGGTACAAGTGTAGGTGCCTGGTAGGGTGGGTCGTTGCTACTTTGGGGTGTGGGTGTTGCGTCGCAAGGCGACTAACGGGAAATCAGTGAAGTGGGGAGGTGTATGAGAATTGGTTCTGAAAATGTCCGCTGCGCGAAATTGGCGCGTCGCGCTGCAGTAACGTTCGTGTCGGTCGGGATAGACTGCCCGCGACTTGGTGATCAACCATCGGGACTGGCTCGGTAGAAACGCGACGAGTTAAAAAAAAAGGCGTGTTTTGGGTTTGAGGATAAAGCGCGAGTCGAAACGTAGTCTAGGAACGTAAAAGAAGATATGGTGCAAATGGGGTGAGAATCCCGGAAGAAAGAATCAAAATCGAAAAGAAGTTATCGGAACGGAGACAAGACTAGGGTGAATAAAACAAAATATATCGAAAAAGTAGTGGAAGAGTTTTGGAAATTCAACGCCCGTCAAGGACCAATCTTAATCAAAAAGGGATTATTGTATAAAAAAAAGTGATGAAAGTTTACACGACACGGCTGAAAAGTTAATGTTAGATTTTCATTTTTATCGCGATTATTGGTGACACGCCCCTGTGAAATTAAAGAGAAACGTAACGTAACACACAAAAATTTTACCCTATATAAAGAAAATTTCAAGAAGAGACTACGCGGTACGCAGTGACGTGCCAAGGATGACGGAGGCCCGGGTGTAGGTACTGGTACAGGGCTGGTCCAAGATGCTGACACAAAGTAAATTTTACGCGCTCTTCATACACTACACATTTGTGTAGTCGTGATACAGGGTGTGGATCCTCCCAGTTTTCGAAACGCCGCCCCTTGGTACCATTTAACCCCGCCCACAAAAGGAATCTGCAAAACAAGTGATTAATCCGCGAGCCCTAGAAGGTGGAGAAAACGGTGTATATACATACAAGATAATCGTGTGAAGGAGTTAAGGGTGTTTCAAGGATCACGCGTGTGTCACGTAGATTATGCATATATATACAGGTATATAGAAACGTTTTCGATTCTGATTTCAGTGGTTATACATGTATATATATTATATATATATATATATGTATAGCTGTTGTATTATTGGTGCAAATTTGGAATCGTGAATTACGTTGATGTGATGTTTAGTGTTAACGTTTAAAGATCGTCAAGGATTCTGGAGGCCGAGCGAATATTTCATAATCCGGTACGCACATACATATAAACGTTGACACAAAGCATAATACATTTCTGATTATCCATATCCTTTCCTTCGGTCCCAAAGCCCCGCCCCAAGAAGCCACCACCAGCACACTTTTACATACGCACCATTCATATCACGTCTATCCCCACCAAACGAGTTTCCTTCGCTCCGCCCATTGCTATGCCATTCACCGGCAGCCTATCGCTCCACTAATTTCAATATATATAAAGTCAGTGCCTGCAAATTATCATATCCCCAGGAAATAAAACCAAAATACGAAGATTAATCTAGGGAAATGTGAAAAATATTAAACAAGAAGATAAGATTTTATCGGAGCTATCATTTACTCCGACGCTTTTGCCTGCTGTATATAAAAGGGGAGATTACGTTACTTGTAAGTATAATAATTAATTATTATCTAATTATTGTCGCAAAATAAAATTCGCTTTAATTTTATTTTACAAGAGTAACGTCTATAAGTGGCATTCCTTCTCATCGATGCGCCGCAAAGATACGAGTGGGCGTTACCGAATGTAAATGTGGGCGGGTATTGATTTTGAAGCTTTCTAATTGGTTGGGAGTAGGGGTGGGGGTAAGAGTAGGCGGTTCTTTGATGCGGTTTCTAGAATTTCTATCAATTACAACTGTTACGACTTCTGTTTTATTTTGTGCATCTGCTTTATCTCTCATGCTTTTAATTGAAACGTCTACATCGTGTCAGATGACACGTAACTTTGCTTGGGGACGTATTAATCAATCTGCAACGCAGTTGGGATTCAGTATCAGAGGTGTAAGGAAATTGAATACTGACATTAGCAGGCCGATGAGTGATTGTCAATAAATAAAAGACAAGTATAAGTTATATGTGTAATTTAACCCTTTTAGTGCCGGACGACGATATATCGTTGCGTATGCGATGGCACCTTATTCTTCGGATCGCGAGAAAGCTCTATCTCAAAATAAATGTTGAAATACAATTAGCATTACATTATTCTCTCTTCCTTCCGTAATACGTTGTTTTTTGAATTATGTAATTATCATTTTTAGTTTGGTTTTTATGACCTTTTTCCCAACCCGTTGTAAAATTCGTCAAATTCGTCCGGATATTCTCGCATAGGCACCGGTTTTTCGCCCGGCACTAAAAGGGTTAATAGAACGACCATTGATTTGGCATATCGTTAAATTTATTACTGTACACGTGCAAGGAATTATTCCTACGAACTTTTCTATGAAAAACAATTTTTAAATTAGTTTTTTATGATTTCCTCATCCCGGATACGATAATTGTCACGAATATTGTAGAGTACAAAATTGCTTGAAAAATAGTAATCCCATTAAAAACGTCACGGTAAAGAGGCACTTACTTAGCCGGAAGTTGCTCGAGCCATCCACATCCGGTGGCTGTCTAAGCAGAAAACGAAAGGCAATGAAGACCATCCAGGATATCTGAGGTTACCTACTTACAAAATTTGTCCCTCGCTAATAGTGTACTATTATTATATATATGTATATACATACATATATTCGTCTCTGACTGCAGCTATCATTCTTTATAAATTGCATGAATTTACGAAAAATTTATAAAACATGTACATTTGACGCATCGGTCGTTTAACTTGTGCGAATTGTTTTTTTGATCTTCTTAAATTAGGTAGGAAAAATTAAGAACGAACACAAATGAATCTTATTAGTCCGATACATCTATAATTTACGACGTAAAACGTAAAGTGTAAGAGAACTTTGATTTATTATTGATAGCGTACTATTTGCATCATTTTAATTCCGAATCTGCGGAATAAATTAGGGTATATTTAATTGAATATATCCAACGTAAGGTCAAGGTGCCTGTTTCATATTTTATGCATTGTTCGTTCTCACTGTTATACACTCGAAAGTGTAATCGCCAAAAAATAGTCACGTGACAGTGCATTATGATTATCATCAGACAGCAGATAACGGTATTATCTACGAAGTCACGAAAAAAGAAAGTCTGATAAGTCGTGAAAAACTTCAATTTCCCTGGAGAGATAAAAAAAGGTCATTTTTTGAATCGAACCGGGTCACGTGAAAGGTGCCGTCCTTTAACCTAATTTTTCGTCCTTTGTGATTCCGTGAATCTTCACTCTATATTTTTAATCGTACTCAAAGTCACGATCAAAATTTTCATATGTATCGTGAGATCCAAAGCTGGTTCTAAAAAATGTGATGCATTAGGTCACCATCTAATAGGGAACGAAGTCTGAATTTAGAGGTTAGGTCGAGCAAGCGAAAAACTATATAAAAGGTCAGGATCGCATAAAAAAATTATACACCCTGTTGGCAACGTACTTAGCAAATATCTAAAGCCCCGTTGGCTCAATGTGTTCTAAAAGTACGTTTATATGTTTCCCCTAGACATATAATTAAAAAAGTATACAACCGCCCATAATTCCATACTACGAAATAAACCCTAGTTAATCGTATATGTTAATTTTTTTTTTAGAAAAAACCTAACCTCTGACGTTTCCCTTAAAATTTACACATACATGGAAATAAAATTTTGTTCATTCCACCACGTTTCAGCGGTAATCCAAAATATTGTTCCTTAATCGAAAACTTTTTTTTTTCTTACCTTACCTAACCATAGTAATAGTAGGATTGGTTAGGATCGCTTCGAGGGACACTTTTACCTCTATTCTCTCTCTCTCTCTCTCTTTCATCACTTTTTCTTTAGCGCATGTTTATTTCGGTCCCCAGCGAAATTTCGTGGCTCCGTAACGCTGCCTGTCATAAATAATAAGTACACTGGCCTTATTGTAGAAACGATCAATACCTAGCCTAGTTGGAATGGCACTCAGGACTGGGGCTAGCACCGACTCAAGGGACAGACCACGCGACGACCGTTACTACTGCCGCGACTAATACTGCCACATGTCTGACTATACACGGGCACTTACTACTCACGCGACAGAATCTACTTCGAACGCCCTCCTCATATCATTTAGCTAAATTCCTTTTTATACGAAAATATTATTCAATCATTTTGTCTACTTAATTCAGCGAATCATCTACTTCTGTGCTACCTGATATCTGTATTTTATATAGAATTATACATGTTTTACTGTAGATTTTTTTTATCGACCTCAAGGACGGTTTAACGCCGCACCCTTTTTTTAAAATAACTTTATTAAAATTTGAAATAATTATCACATACTTTTTACGGACTTTTTTTTATTTTGATTCTCTTATCACTTAAATCTGATCGCAGGGATGTCTACTGGGCTCATTGCACACGTGAGGTCGTACAGTCGATAAGGTGATAAAGGCAACACGATATTTTCAAACGTATCAGTGATATATATATATGTATATATATATTTATGTATTTCTATTATCAATATATAGAAAATGTATACAGTGTGTATACATGCATTTACGTATTATGTAGTCCATTGTATAGGTATTGTATAAGCTATCGACTTTAAAAACATAATGGAAACTGTGCCGTGTAAAAGGCAAGTGTGTCCTATATGCATCTGTTCTATATCTATATGTATATTATATTATATACTGTATAGCGTGCATATATATGTATATATATTGTATCGTGACGAGCACGCCAGTGTAATTACGATGGAAATATTCAGGTCAGCCTGGGCAGCAATCTTGAGTTTGTTAAAGTAATATCACATGTAGAGACACAACAAAAAAAATTATGAAAATTGTAACACAGGCTCGTTAGGCTTCCAATGCTGAGAGTATTATTTCTAATAAACAGAGATAACGAAGAATCAGTGTCGGGCGAATCTGATACGTCGAAGTGGATTTACGTAATTGTCACGTTTTTACCATAAAAAAAGGATAATTCTTTTGAAATCTTTTTTTTTGTTTTTAAGTATATTTGAAAATCCATTTAACGTCATTAGACCTCTCTTGGACTTTTCTGGCGAATTGCCAGCCGGAACTTCCGGCACTGGCTCTGTTTCTCTTTTTCTATTATCTTCCTTTTTTTTTCTTGCAATCACTTTTTTCTTCTCACCCACGAATCCAACTTGCCTCTCTCTCTTTTTCCTTTCACGTCCACTTGTTCCATTCTTGTGACAATTCTTCTTAACTCGTGAACCGAATCCGAAATTTTTCCTGAGGAAAAAAAAAAGAAAAAGGAAATAAATGAAAAGATTCTTCAGGGCCGTACAGATAGCCGCTGGCACTTTGGGCAATAACTGAGAGGTGTAGGGAGGGAAGACGGTAGTGAAAGGCAAGAGGCGGAAGTCGAACGATTTGCCGGAAGTGAGATGCAGAGTGTAGATCAAGCGGACGATTATCATTGTGAACTCACCTTTATCTTGATATTTCTTTTCCTTCTCTTGCCTCTCGTTGTTCTTAGATGCGAGTCCCTGTCCGGGCGATCTGCTCTGAATATTTAAATTCTGTAACATGGGGTAACGCACACATTTTTTAAAATCCAATTCCATACAATCTTGCTGCAACATAGGTGGCATTGGCAACTGAAAACGTATATAGGGTGACACATGTATTTTTGGACATTTTCCTCTTTGTTACCTTCGCACGAGCAACGCTGGTCCCACTTTTTTTTCTACTTTTTCTTCGCCTCCTTATTCACTGGATTTTCTTCTTTCGTCATAACTCGGACCGCTTCTCGTCGCCGCAAACATTCGTCGGATATCGAGCTGGCTAAACCTTAGTTAAGTAACCTTGTCGAGAATATCCAGTAACTCGTGAGAGACCTCAGCGGCATCGATTTATTGACTGGGCAGTCGGCAACAATGTCAGCTTTATAGAAATTGCCAGAGAAAGTTTTCCCATTGGACACCTCTGTACACAGGATGCAAATTGGCGCCTACGAACGGCGTATGCTGGCGAGTGAGTTAATGTCAAGGAGAGATAAATAAAAATTAAAAAGAAAGAAGATAAACAGTTAGAAAAAAAGATATGCATAATCATCCACGTGGAAACCTGTGAAACCGAATTAATATAAATAAATAATTAAAAAAAAATACAAATATGTCAATAATTTATTTTTGGATTAAAAAACCCATGCCAGCCGAGACCTACAAAAGGTTAGAAGTCAGCAGGTACTTCTGTACTTTTTTTGGCTTCTTTATTTTCGCCTATACTCGCTGAAGAAATAGAAAGGCTGCCAGAGAGTAGAGAAAGCAGTAAGTCGTCAGACAAGTATATATAGGTGAACAGGTGGACCACATTTAAAATTCCCTATGAGCCGTGTGTACACAGTGGATCGTATATTGCGATACGGATATTCACAGTTACTTTTCTTTCTCTCTTTTTGCTTCCCTTTTCCATTTCTCTCTCTCTCTCTCTCTCTCTCCCTCTCTAGGCCGACCTACTTTCTCAACCCGGATCTTTCCCGGCTGCCCGCTGTTCATTACAGAT